GGCACTGCCACACTCGTGGAAGCAGGGCTTGGAGTCTACGTCGATTCGCAGCGTCACTAGTCTGGTGTGTGACACTGTAAGCGTTATATATAACACTGAGTTAGTGCCGAAACCGGAATCGAACCCACTACCGGCGCCACTGGTAAACGTACCGTGCGCTCCAACATCGTCCAGCGCACTGAGTTGGAAGCAAACGCTCGTGGTTTTCTCAAGTAGCAACACCGATGCGACCGCACACGCTGCTCATGAGGAAGAACCCCTCTGTGGTTCGAAACTAGTAGAGCTTTACTCAGTACATTCACGTGTGTAACCCGCGATTTTTAGTAAACTTCGTGATTGAAAAATGATTGTTTTAAATTTTGTATTAAGTAAATTGTCTGTGATTACCTAGATCTCAACCCGTTGGCTTATTTTAACTGTCAAACACCGCGAGGTCACCGGTGACCGCAACCTATAGTTCTTTAATTGTGTCTATAATGGCGGTACTGAACGAGTTAATTGTGTTTGGTATACTCTATGAGTTTGAAAGAAACAGTTTCGAGAGGGAGGCTCTTAATAGAATAGGTACAGCTAGGCTGGGCAGCATATAGAAAATCAACGGGCAACATGACATATTTAATAAATAAACAAATGTTGTAGTCAATTAAGAGCTTTCAATAATCGTTGATGTTGTTTTTAGGAAGACGGATTTGTTACTGAAAAGTGATTTTTGTAGTGATTTTGTATTAACCTTTTGAGCGCCAATGTCACATATATGTGACAAGCGAAAACGACACAAATAGATGGCAGAAAAAGCGGAACCGGAAACATGAAATCAACAATTTGATTCTCTATTGGAATCCCTAATTCTTTCGTAGAAATTTGCGAAGAATTTGTAGCTTGGTGTTGAGGGCAGATTCATGTGTTTTTGATCTGGCGTCCAATTGTCTGGCATCCTGTCTGTGATTAATCACAGACAAATTCTTATTAAACTTTAGCTGGATCTATAAATGATTATTTAAAGTAATTTTTTTGTAAATTTTTCCTAATAAATGGAACATGTCTTGATAGATTAAAATGTGTACAATTTATACCAAATATCCATCGGAAGGAGCGTAACTCAAATTAAAGATTTAACCCAACACACGAATCCCTAAAAATATAAATAATAAATATGTGGACGACAACATGGAGATTGATCAAATATTCAATAATTTTTATATAGAGGTATATACATCAAGTAAAACCGATGACCACCATTAAATATCCTGACCTATCGTTGATTTTTGCAGATACAGATAACAACACATAATGTGGCCACTGTTGCACAGGTCGTTTGCAAAATTGTTGACATACTTAAAATACCGATGTCCACCAAAGTCGTGAAAATAGTGCATGTGAAATAAGTTCAGCCTTAAATTTTATAATTATTGAGAATGGTGTATTCCCAAATGCGATAAAATACCAATTTTAAAAACCCGTATATAAAAAAGGAAATAGAGACGAACCGAAAAATTATAGACCTTTTGCATTAGATAATATTTTCAAAGTTATAGAGAAGGAACTATACAACAATTTGTATGCGTTCCTGGACAATAAATACATTTTAAGGGAAGAACAATACGGTTTCAGGAAATACATAAATATTAATACTGCTATTTATATACTTTTTGAATATATTGTTACGAATGCAGGTAACAGGAATCCGGTGAGTGTGGGTGTTATAGACACATCTTGTGTAAATTTCAAACTACTTTTGTTAAAGCGACAACGTTACGGAAGTACGTGAGTAGACAAGAAATAACATATTTTAAAAAATATATCCACGCATCAAGACTGAGCTGACGAAAAGGTGATAAAGGTACGATACGGTGTGCCACAAGGAAGCGTACTAGGACCACTTCTGTTTCTAATTTCAATTAACATGCTCAGTAGAATTAAACATCCCACAACATTTTTTGCAGATGATATAACAGTAACTTTTACGAACCAAAATATATCGCCATTCGAAATAACGATATCAATCAGTTTTGAGAATATAGCGACATACATATGGATATATATAGATATATACATAGATAATAGACTGGCTAAACAACAATAACTCCCAAAGACATTTAGAAAAATACAAGAAATTCTTCAAAACGAATGAATGCCATTGACCTCAAAATCCGATATTGCAACAAAATTATCACTGACACCGATCACACCGAATTGATACATTTTAGGACTCTGGTGGGATCGAAACTTGCTATGGTGTTATAAAGTTGATCAATTAGTAAAAAAATCAAACCAATATTTATTTATTTATTTATTTTACACTTTAATGCACACAAAATAAGGTACATAAGGCGGACTTAATGCCATATGGCATTTTCTCCCAGTCAACCTTTGGGTTAAATGTAAGCTCAGCGAAAATGGGCCTGTGTAATATCAAAAAAAAAAAACAAAATAAATAACTAATAGTAATAATAATAATAAATACTGTATAACATATTGAATAAAAATATATAATAAACACAAAATATGTACATACATAAATAACTTCATATATATAATTATAATATAATATAAATTGACGAAGATATAAATTAAAGAAGACACGAACTCAGCGTTGTAGCGCCTTTAAATAGGCCTCACGAACACTACGTTTAAAAGCCATTTTGTCAATATCAACGTAAGCTCTACATAATTTACGTAAAATAGAATCTTGAGTGAAATAGCCTTTGTATAAAAAATAAATGAAAACTATCACAATTCTCCTAGGCCTTATAAGAAATAAAAAAAAACTAGTAACTTTAAAACTGCACTTGCCACAGATTATACTTATGCCCAAGCGTAGATATATAACTCACAGACCATATTTACCCTACAAAAAAAAAACATAATCCGAACGACAAATATAGACCAAACCGACAGCTGTAGACCACTTTTTAGAAAACACAAAATACTCACCCTTATATGCACATACATTTTGGAAATATGCAAATTTCTTAGAAACCGCCCAGAATATATATAATGATATATAAAATATATTTTATATATGTGGTGTATGTTTTATATTTATACACAGTGATATATGTTTTAAATACACGTGACAATAAAACAGACTATAGCTTTAGACACAAACAGATTAAACCTACCATGCTCCTTCATAGGCATTCGTCTGCCCACTCTAGTTATGTCTATAAAGATATATAACGCACTACCGAAACACACAAAGGAGGCAGAAAAAATTAACATGTTCATAAATAAATTAAAACGGTTCCTCATTGATAAATGTTAAGACACCCTCAATGAGTTTTTCGACGACCATTTAGTCAGCACAACTTAATATCTAATACATACTCAAGAACAGTTCGTGTTAAATATTGTAATATAATATAAGTACATTAATTAGATTATATTCTGGTTGCATAATTATGATGAGTGGAATAAATAGATAAAGTTAAATAGTCTTATAAGATGTTGATCTCATTAGATGTATAACTATCGTGAGACATACTAAATTAACAAAATCGCGAGGAAGAACCCATCTAAAACTAGTAGAGCTTTTCTCAGTATATTCACGTGAGTAATAGTTAATTTAGCTATAACTGTTATTGTTAAAAATAATATACTATTCACTTGGTATCACTTACTAAAATTAGTTACTCCTAATATTGATTTCAATTGTTTGAAAAAAAATATTATTCTTTTTACATATATTAAATTATTTTTTTATTGATATGATTGAAATTCTTGACTTTAAATAGCTTTTATTTGTATTTGTATTCATTTAATTAAAATTGATGCTATAGGTATTAATATTTGTACGCTAAGCAAAGCGAAATATAGTGAAGCTAAACCCGTTTCTTTTTTTAACTTAAGAACATCTATGTAATGACAAACAAACTATGTTACAAATAAATGATTAAGATTATATACACATTACAAACAAAGAAAATGAAATAAAAGAACTAAAACTAACAATGTACTATACAAATAAATTACAATATCATATAATACAAGCGAGGACAAATTTATTTTATAACCTCTTTATGTTATTTGGGGTCAAAGTAACGAGGCGACGTTGTGACCATGGGTAGCGCGGGTGGCGCGAACGCAGCTGAGGGAGCGGGCGCCGACGCGCCGCCGCGCGGGCGCAAAGCTATGGAGGGAGCAGCGCAGCAGGGAGTCGGGCAGGCACAGGTTCAACTCCTCTCGACGCACATACCGGACCTGACAAAACATCAAATGTTACTTACTGCTGACAAACTTATAGCAGAAGAAACTTATATGGGAGACTTAAAAGCGAAAATTTATTAAAACACTGTTTTAATTATGGACACAATTTCTATCGATTAGTAGTAATGAATTACCTGTATAACTATGCCTTCCCGAAGCATGGAAGTTCTCCTCCCAACATTGCTGACGTTCTCCGTGACATTCACACATGTTTAAGTTGACAGAGGTCTTCTGGAACTCCAACCCGATGAACCACATCGAGCAGCAGTTGGCTGGGGCCTGCCCAGTGGTTGCACTAACGGGTGCACAATTGTAGCACTTTGGGTGCACCCGCGCTAATGTCACTGGTTCGTCCTTTTGAAATGATTCTGTAACAAATATACACCGTTAGATATATTGCCGTTAAGAGGCCGTGAGCTTGCATTACGAAGCTAAGTGAAATATATTAGTAGACTTATAGTGAATGCTGACCGACTAGATGTCGAATCCTGCTCTCAACGAGCCCGCACCACTTCAGCTGGTCGTCCTGGCTGGCGGAGGAGGCCAGCACCACCGCGAAATGATTAAAGGTATTAAAAAACGCGGGCATCTCGAACAAGTGCTGCCACCCACACCTGCCCTTCATGATCTCTTCAGTGGTGGCCAGACCTGTGCACCAATACAATATTCATTTCAAATACTTTCTAACAATTACACAACAAAGGCAATCAAGATACAATGTAATGACATTGTATCTTGATTGAAATGTTACTTGGTGGATGATTTAATTCTTCTACCATGACCGACCTGGTGGCAGCGGACACGTTGAACGTTGAATTTTGTTGTGGGTAGGCAGGAGTTATGATGGGCATCACGTGATCTCGATCCGCCTCGTTTACCTGAAACAAATTACATATACATAAACACATGCACAATTACGTACATCTGTGAGTATTAACGAAGGAAATAAACTATATTTTTTTATAATTTTGGTGAGGGTAGACAGGAGTGTTGATGAGGGTAATTGCAAGTTTTTAAAACTGCGTTTCACCGAGTTTAAAGACGTAGAAAAATCTTCGGAATCTTCTTAAAACATTACCGACGTTATCAAGGTGCAACGAATGTGTGCAAAGATAATTTATCATATCCTGAAAACTTAATTTATGTGAAAAAAGTAGCTTTTACCCGCGGCTTCGCGTATTCCTGTTTTATCCCATGGGAGCATTTAATAGGGATAATAAGTATCCTATCACATAAGTCAGCCCATACCTTGTGTACCAGATTTCATTATAATCCGTTCAGTAGTTTCATCTAAACTTTAGATGTTTGTGCGTCGATCACGATGAAACTGTTTAGATTCTAAACAAATAAACTTTCACATTTATAATACTAGTGTGATATAAACGATATTTACCTGACGTTTTAAAAAAAAATCAAGAAGATTAAATATCTTTCTTCTTTGTCTTAGAGTCTCTGTATACGCCTTCTAACTTATCTAGGGGACATTATAGTTTAAGTTAAGTAAGTGGACTTTAAGTTAAGTAAATCAAACCTGGGATTTGCCGCAACAGAAGTCTCTTACAATACGTCGGTATAGATGCCATCGAAGTCCATTTTCATTACAGGTACATATGCGGCTTCCACTGCACTCAAGTCTTTATCCTGCACAGAAACACATTAGAATATTTTAGCTTTAATATGAAATGTAACAGTAGTTTTACATAACCATATAAAGAATTTAATAAATTTTTCTTATAAAATTTTAGAATTTGCGGGTTGGTCCGTGTGTGTTGGTTAGAAAGGTGACTTACGGTTCATTATAATAGGAGGTAGTCCACTCTTTACTATCACGGTATATATTTTGTCCAACAACTACACACAATAGCCTCCACCAAATTTGTTTAGAATAAAGTCGAGAAGGACAAGCGAGCGAGCTTATGCAGGGGATAGAATTCGATAAATTTATTTATCGGTTAAGCGCGGGTACTTACACACGGTAGTTCAAGCACGAGCGAGCGTCCGGAGTCATTGATAGGTCGCGACTGGTGAAAAAATAAAATATTATAAAAGTGTGGGCGACGCCGCTGCATTATACCAAGGTCAATTCAAAGACATGAGCACGGCTGTCGATGCGTTTGTCCAGTGTATAATATAACTAGGTTCTGCCCGCGACTTCGTACGCGCATTCCCGTTTTCTTTCGATCCCATAAGGGGATACGGGATTTTTTCTATCATAAGAGTCTTCTCCTGACAATAACAAACACAACAAAAAAAAATCAGCCAAATCGGTCTAGCCGTTCTCATCAAGATATGGCGTGACAACGAGAAACGGGTTCCATTTTTATATAATATATAGATATTAGATATGGCCGGCAATGTGTCTGTCTGTCGCGGAGAACCTAATGGGTAACCGGGGCTCCGGCTCGACGTGCAGGAGAAGGAACGGGGTGGTTTTTAGTCAGTAAGAGTCTGACACTCCCTCAGCCTCACCCAGGCGGGAGCAGTCATTCGATGACTATTCCCCTTAAAAAAAAATGTGTCTGTCTAGTTCACACTACGTTAGTATTTCAGTCGAGTAGCAATATTCAGTAGTCCTCTCTCGCTTCTGTCCCAAAATGGAAGTGAGAGAGAACTATTAAATATTCGCAACTCGACTAAATTACTAACATCGTGCGAACAAGGTATAAGAGCTACTGATCCATCTAAATAAAATAAGGCTCGTTCGTAAAATGATGACTTAATTCTTCAACGCGGTTTGACCCGTTTTGCTTGGCTCCTATTGAATGCAATTATGTTTTAAAGCCTTCCTCGGTGAATAGACCATCCAACTAGTAGTTTCAGAAATCGACGCGTTTGAACAAACAAACAAACTCTTCAGTTTTATATAGTAAGTAAGTAAAATAATTATAGTTAAAGCAGGTAGGGACACACCAACTCACACTGTTCTAATATATTAACGTTTTTTTTTTTAATGTGATAAACCCGCCACAACCTCCCAAAACCACTGCAACTCCTGCAAGCCAGCATCTACAGTAGATACAACCATGAAAACACATAATGATGTAATTAATTTAAAGTAATAGAAGTTTATTAATAAGACTAATAAAAACCACTAGCACTACTGCAGTTAGCTTACTGCCGCGTGGGCGGGGACGTCATGCATTCGTAAATGTTCTACAGTCGGTGGCGCTGTGGGCTGGGTCGTTCCGTTCCCTACGAAATGGTTGATCGGACCGATTGCTGGCCTACACGTCATACCCGTGAACGGGTGCCTTCTGCTGGAACAGGTCGGCTCGCTCATCGTGCTGGTGGGCTGATTCAGTAAGGTTAGTCTAAGATAATAAGACTATATTAATTAGGTAACAGCATAAAGTATTGTGTGTAGTGATAGTGGTAGGCGTAGCATGTAAGATGTTTATAAAAAAATATTTGACCATGAAAATTATGTACTTGTAAAATGACAAGGGCGCGGACAGGAGTCCGTGGAGAAATTCAATGTATTATTGATTAAAAAAAACCATGAAAACACCGGAACACTGAAGTCCGTTATAAATACAAACCGATAATAACATCGTTTAAAGCTAACAAAAAAAAAAATGACAACTTGACCCGAGATAATAGCAGCTTGGCACAGACCTATAAAACATACCCGCTGACGAGCAATAATAAGGTACAAAGTAATTTGTACCTTATCGCATCATGTATATGGTAAAGATTAGCATATAAGCGATATCGAAAAAGTACTAATGAATGCACCCACTTAAAAACACCGCGCAACAACAAAGAAAATCAGGAATACTTTAATTGTGCTAAAATTATAAATGACGGTTAAAAAGTACTAATGATCACATGTCCATCGCTAAGTAATTAAAAATTACATTGTTCAATTTATGTTTTTGACCTTACTAATTGCGCCATATTTCATTAGTGTTGCCAATTTATTTTTTAATATTCCCTTCTCACGGGTCTCATATAGAGGGAAAAATGTCAAAAAAATCTAACTTGCTTGTAAATTAAAAATAAAATGATATTTTTATTACTTATTGAACTAACACGTTTTTTTTTAAGGGGGGAAAATCATCGAATGACTGCTCCCGCCTGGGTGAGGCTTTACTCTTACTGACTAAAAACCACCCCGTTCCTTCTCCTGCACGTCGAGCCGGAGCCCCGGTTACCCGTTAGGTTCTCCTCGACATTGAACTAACACTTATTGTAACCGACTTAAAAAGAAGGTTTCGATCCTTCTTTTTAAGTTCGAACTATTGTAAGGTGACGCCCTATCTAGACATTATTTTTAGGCAGTAACAGTCTAACACTCCCTCCCGCCTCAACTAGGCGGGAAAAGTAATTCGATGATTTTTCCTCCCTTAAAAAAATCTAGACATTATATAATCAAAAGTAATTAATAATTTAATCATAAAATAATATATGGAATATAGAAGCATAGACAAAAAAAATGATACCTCATCGCGTAGCGGGAAATTTAAATCTGTGGTTCGAGAAATGAAAAAGTCAAGATGGCGGGAACTCGGAAGTTATTGAGATGGCGTATTTAGTGTTGAGGGAAATTTAATGTATTTTAAAGTCAATTTGGCTATTTATGTATTGTTGTTGTTTTTCTTTCCAATTAATAGTTATGGTGTAGCTAGTCCTGGTTTTGTAATTTGATTATGATGTTAACAATATAAGTGCATTGTAATGGTTGTACTCTAATTTCCGTGTCTCCTGAGTTTCAAAAAAAAAAATGTGGTTTAAAACCAATAAGTTTCTAATATCAAAGAGTACGGTAAACTCTATGCGAGTTTTTAAGTTTTCTAATATTAGAAGTGGGATTCCATTATTTGCTATGTGATCTGATTTTCTTTGTAATTATTACATGATACGGCAGTTTGACTAATATAAGTTTTTCATTTGTTATAAGTATGTTCGCATTTGTGTACTTAGTAGGTACGTTGTGATCGAGGTATCGTGGTAACTCACATCAACTATGACCGAAACTTACGGTGAGTACGTTCCAGTTCTCGTTTATAAAGCCACAATTCTTTTGTGTATTTGTACGTGTAGGTAGGTATTTTTTTGAAGGGGGGAAAATCATCGAATGACTTCTCCCGCCTGGGTGAGACGGAAGACTGTCAGACTCTTACTGACTAAAAACCACCCCGTCCCTTCTCCTGCACTTCGAGCGGCAGCCCCGGTAACCTGTTAGGTTCTCCGCGCGTGTAGGTTTTTTTTTTTAAAGCGGGTAAATCATCGAATGACTTCTCCCGCCTGGCTGAGGCGGAAGGGAGTGTCAGACTCTTACTGACTAAAAACCACCCCGTTCCATCTCCTGCACGTCGAGCCCCGGTTACCCGTTAGCCTATAAATAAATAAACTTCTAAACAAAATGTTCAAAATGTTCCTAACTAAATTTTCTTTTAGGCTAAAGAATCCTAAACAATCTAGTTCATCAGTGTTTTACATTGTAATATGTTACATTTACGTCCTTTACTGTTACGAATAGTAAAGAAAAGAGAACGAATGTCACGTACTGAAATGATTCTGGTAATATTCCTAGGCGATTCTGCCAACATGGCTTGTGTAAAGTTCAGTGAAGAAGCACTAAATTTTGCTTTTTTTTTGACTGCATGGAGGAGCGATGCTGCCTATTACTGATGAGGATACGTAAGCTCGACACCGGTGCGCCTGTGCTGACGTCGCCACAGCTTCGGTTGGCGACTGCGGCAGTGGCTGAGCATCGGCTGTTGGTGGCAGAAGGTCAAGGTTCTGTTGAATCGACGTTACCTGGACTGCAATGCGAGCTTGATTGACCGTGTCCTTGATGCAATACATTGAATGAACAGGCTGGTGAGGTATAATCTTACTTTTTGTATTATTTATCCATTCGCTATTTTGATCAGCGATATAGACACCAGACCGTGGTATGAAGCAGTTAGGCAGGTACCGAGAATTTAAAGTTTGAACTATTGAAATGATAAAAAGTACCTATATGTTTTACATCGGCAACTGATTAAAATTAAAAGCCCTCAATGCATGGGTTACCATTGGCTGTATTTAAAGTAATTTAAAAGATTGGTTTGTGAATCTTTAGTGCTTTCGAATATTTTGTACGAGGTCATGAGTACGAACACTGATCAATATCTGACGAATTAATGCTTATCGATTACTGTTAAAAGTTAAAGTTAAATGGTCGATAATCAATAAGCTTATTGCTACTTATCTTATATACTATTATAATTATGTATAAAGCGGAAGAGTTTTTATTTTTGTTTGTTTGATCGCGCTAATCTCCGTAACTACAAGTCTGATTACGCATTTATCGAGAATGGCTATAGGCTATAAAACATCACGCTACGACCAATAGGAGATGAGCAGTGCGTGTGAAACTATAAGTTGTTTTTGTCGTTAGTCACAAAGCAATATACTTCAACTGTTATTAGATAAATAATTGGGCAACCCGCTGCCGTGCAACGTGTCACGGGTTCGATTCCCACATGGAACAACACTTTGTGTGATCCACCAATTGTTGTTTCGGGTCTGGGTGTGGTGTGTATGTGAACTTGTATGTTTGTAAACGCACCCACGACACAAGAGAGGATCCTAGTGTGGGGCAACGTTTTTAAACAAAAAAAAAAGATAATGTTAAAACTGTTTGTGTTCTTTTAACCTTTCGTGTCTAAACGCGAGACACAATGTATTTTCTATTGGGTGGTATTTAATACTTTAACTGTAAATTCCCTTTTTTCAATCAAAATGTTCGAAATTCCTGAAAAATACTGAATAACACACTAAATTCGCTCATCAAATAAATCGATTATACTATACTGTTAGATCTTTAAAGCTTAACTGTTTTACTGAATGACTATCTTTTAACTAAAAGTAAATCTAATAATTCTTCGAGTGCAACAAAATATATAAAAACAACGATATATTGTGCTGTTTTTGATTGTATTTTCTTTGCAAATATTTATCGGTCGCAATTTATAAGCTCGATTTGTTTTTTAAACAAAGACATGTTTTTTTTTATTAAATCTA